ATAGCCCCATCGCTTCCCTCACAGCCAGGCAGTGTTACCAGTTTCTTATGTAGACAAGTACATGCTTATTTATTCCCCTCACCTTCTCCTTAGACAAACAGGAATATGCCATGTACAATATTCTGTTCCTTGCATAGTCCTCACTTTTTTTAATCGAACTAATATAACTTATTTAACAGGTGCCCGATTAATTGGGATTTAGTTGTTTTCAATCTTTTGCTATTATAGTGCTGCAATTAATATACTATCTTTTTACATGTCATTTTGCACACACGTAGGATAAGTGCTAGAGGAAAAGTTGCTGGGTCAAAGAGAATGTGCATTATTGTTTTGATTGCTAACTACCAAATTGCCCTTCAGGATTTCATTCCAGTTTCTAGCCCCACTAGCAGTGAGTGAGAGAATCTGTCTCTTTACACCACCCATACACTGTGTTATCCAGCCTTTGACCTTGACTGTCTGATGGGGGCAGAAATGATTTCAGTGCAATTTTAGGGGATCATCTAGTCTTGAAAAACAATGCAACATAGCACATCCGCCACTTTTGCTTTTGTGATTTTGACCCAGTGTGGTGTTTTCAGCCTTATGTAGTAGCTAAGGAATTGAAGTTGATCTTTGTTAACTATTTATGACTGAAAATAGTTAAAATATTGAAAAGCAAATTGATGTAATCCTTTTAAAAATAGGTATTACATAGGGGGCCATGACATGCTAAATGAATCCTTAGAAACTGTGTGCTCTCTGGTTTTATTGATGATGGAACATCCTCTCTAATCTTGTTGTGACATAAGGACTTAAGATCAAAGAATTACTGAGATGCAGCACCAGCAACTTAAGTGAGGTCAGCAGTTGTCCCCAGTGACCTGCTGAAGTGAGGTCAGCAGCTGTCCCCAGTGACCTCCTGTCTGGGTGGATCTTTACCAGCTCTGGTCTTGGTGGAGTTCCACTGCCTTTGCCACATTCAGGAGACACAGTGTAAGCATTTGGAAAAGACGATGCATAGGTTAAAGTTCCAAGTTGCAAGGGCTTTTGGAGATCCTTTCAACCAGTTTTCTTTTCACTGGGACGTCATGGAGAACTGCATGTGGGACTTGCTGTGAATAACGGGGTATCTTTTTAGTTTTTTAGATTCCAGGACTGCTGTAGGTGAATCAGGTATCGTTTCAGGAGAAGGAAGTTTGTCATGTGGGCTTTATGTAAAATGGACTGGGTGTGTGGCAAGGCAGGGACAAGGAAGGGCTCTGGAAAGGACTGTCAATAGAGGCTTAAGTTAATTTATTTGTAAATATAATGTGGTCTACCACATTATGAAGACACAAAGACAAAACATATTACAAACAGTCAAAACAGGACTAAGTATCTCAACACACACACACTCCCCTGGAGTCCTGCTCGCTCACCCTGTGAAGCCGAAAGCTGGGACTGGGACAGACCCCTGTCGGTCCTGGCTAGTCGGTCCTCCCAGGACTCAGAATGTGCCCCCACAACTTTCAAACCAAAAGCACCAAGTTCTAAACATCAAAACACAGCGGGAGCTCCTTTGTCTAGCATGTCGGAGTGCCAGGGAGGCCCCAGTCCAGGTTAAACCAGATCTGGTGTTGTGTCTTTGTTCTGTCCTTGTTCTGGGTGGACGACAAAGCACTGACCACACATGTTAGTGCTCTTCGCTTTACCAGTCCACTTAGGCAGCAGCCTCTAGTCTCCTCTTCCCCTCACTAGTGCCTGGCTGGGCCTCAGACCCTGGGGCTAATGCATCACCTCTCCTAAGGTTTCCTTGTCTTTTTTCCTCTCTCTCCCTCTCTCTTTCTCCCCCTTTTTAAAAATCAGCAATATTGAGATATGATTCACATAATATATAAAATTCAGCTATTTAAAGTGCAAGATCCAGTGGTTTTTAGTATGTTCACAGAGTTGTGCAACCATTGCACAATTTTAGAATAGTTTCATAACCCCAGAAGGAAACCCTGTACCCACCCTCTAGCTTCTATCTCCCAATCCTCTGGTTCCCCTCAGCCCTAGGCAACCACTCATCTACTTTCTCTCTAGCTAGAGTTGCCTATTCTGGACATTTCATATAAATGTCACCTTTCGTAAATGGCTTTTTCCCCCCCATGTAGTGCAATGTTCTCAAGCTTCATCCATGTTGTAGAGTGTATCACTACTTCATTCCTTTTTAGGCCCCCCAAATATTCCATTGTATGAATAGACCACATTTTGTTTACTTGCTCACCAGTTGATGGATATTTGGGTTGTTTCCACTTTTTGGCTGTCATGAATAAAGCTGCTATTAAGTTTTTGTGTGTCCATAGGCTTTCATTTTTCCTACGTATATACTTAGTAATAGAATTGCTGTGTCGTATGATAGCTCTATTTAGTATTTTGAGGAACTGCCAAGCTGTTTTCTAAAGTGGTTGCACCATTTTACTTTCCCATCGGTAACGTATGAGGGCTCCGATTTCTCCACATCCTCGCCAACACTTGCTATTATTTGTCTTTTTTATTAAAGCCATCCCAGTGGGTGTGAAGTAGCACCTTGATATGGTTTTGATTTGCATTTTCCTAATAACTAATGATGTTGAGCATTTTTTCATATGCTAGTGGACTTTCGTCTATCTTCTTTGGGAAGATTTCTTTATACTCAGATCCTTTGTCCAGTTTTAATCAGGTTATTTATCTTTTATTTAAGTTAAGCATTCTTTATATATTCTAGATATGGGTCTTTTACCAGATATATGGTTTGTAAATATTTTCTCTCATTCTGTGCATTGTCTTTTCACTTTCTTGATGGTGTCATTTATAACACAAATGTTTTTAATTTAGAGGAAGTCTAATATATCTACATTTTCTTGTGTCCCTTGTGCTTTTGGCATTGTGTTTAAGAGGCTTTTGCCTAACCTAAGATCACAAATATTTACTCCTATGTTTTCTTTTAAGAGTTTTATAGTTTTAGATCTTGCATTTAGGTCTGTGGTACATTTTGAGTTAATTTTTATGTACAGTGTAAGGAAGGGGCCTGATTTCTTTCTTTTGCATGTGAGTATATTCATCCATTTATTCCAGCAGCATTTGTTGAAGACTGTTTTTCCCCATTGAATTGTCTTAGCACCTCGTTGAAAATCAATTGATGTGAGGATTTATTTTTGGACTCCCAGTTCTATTCCATTGGTCTATATGTGGATCCTTACACCAGCACCACACTGTCTTGATAATTGTAGCTTCATAGTGTCTTATCTTCTAATGGAAAAGTTAGGGCAGGAATGGGCAATCTAGACTTTTCTCTTTCCCTGGCCTGACCAGTTATTGGATTCTTTAGGTCCCTCTTCAAGCTTTCAGACACACTTTATTTCTCCTGGTTCATCTTGTTGGTTTAAGTAGGAGATGATATCCAAGCAGTCCTGAGAAATCCTGGCTGCTGCGCCCCTGAGTTTTCTCCTTGCCATGTCAGCTGTGTTCTGATTCAGTAGCTTGGCTCTGGGCTTCCCAGATGTATAGAATTAAACATTTGGGGTGTGAAAAGACTCACTGGTTTCTGAAACTCTCTAATTGGTTAAATTCAAGATGATACAGCTTACTGTACTGTTAAAAGATTTAAAGATCTTTCTGAACCATAGCTATGCAAGGAAGCAAGCAATCTGGCAGATAGCTCTCCCAGGTGGGCTGTGATGTAGCCTTTGAAGCTGGATTTTGCCCTCCCTGGGCCTGCCTTTTCTTGCAGGCACCTGCATTGCTGCTTCATGAGCGTTCAGTTTGCTAATACTGGCATCGTTGCAGTAGTGGAGAAATGCAAGGCTAGAGATCTGCTGGGAGAGGTGGATTTGTGGACAAGGCCACTTATCATCACTTCAAGTGAATGAGCCAAAAAAATAATAAGTCCATGTGACATCTGGAATTAACAAGAACCATCCTGTAACTGTTGCGGTTCCTTCTGTTAGGATTTGTGTGCAGCACAAGCTCATTTTTAGATGATAGTGCCTACAGCTTGCACTATGAACTATATCATAATTTAAGCAAATTTTAATTTCCCAGTTTGTATTGGACATTAAAAAACATCTATACACAGAACCTATCCTTCATCAAGAGCTTCTGTTAAGGGGCCCTGCACATGGTGAGGGTCTGGGAAGTGAACTCACCAGGAGGCAGTGGTAACAGGTTACAGAACCGGTGAGGATTCTGGCAGCCTGAGTGCATTTCCTCCTGAGTGAACCTGGACTAGTTCATTAATCCACCCACGTCTCAGTGTGTTTGTCTTTAAAATGGTGATAAGAACAGTGCCCCCTGCTGCCCCTGCAGAGCTGTTCACAGGTTGAAGTCCTGTGTGAGCCCTCAGCGTTTACCTGAGCATCTTCCAGCTTACTCTCCAGGGTCCTTCTGGCTGCCACGGCTCCCTTTTCTTCTTTTCTTGCATGCACGAGGGCCTCCTCTAGATGTCAAGGACTTGACCCAGGCGAGGGCTGACAGACTTTCTGTAAAGAGCCAGGTTAGTAAGTACGTTAGGCTTTGTGACGTCACAGGCCTTGTGTCTCGGCCGCAACTCCTCACTCTGCTGTGGTAGCATGGAAGCAGCCCTAGACAGGTATCCACGGTGTGGGGGTGTTCCACTGACACTGCATTTTTCACAGCAGGTGGACGGCTGGAGACTTGGTCTGCTGGCTGCAGTGTGCCACCTTGGCTCAGAACGGTGCCTGACACATCGTGGATTTCTTTTTTTTATTATAAAGAGTAGTTTATTGATTTTTAGGGAGAGAGGACGGGAGAAGAGAGGAACATCAATCTGAGAGCATAACATCAGTTGGTTGCCTCCTGTACATCCCCTACTGGGGATCGAGCAGGAACCCAGGCATGTGCTCTGACCAGGAATCAAACCAGCGACCTTTTGGTGCACAGGACGATGCTCACCAACTGAGCCACACCAGCCAGGGCATGTCGTGGTTTTTAAATAAATGTCAGCCATCCTGGGAGCTGGGGCCTTTCTCTTGACGCTGTTTTTGTGTTTTGAACAGAATGTTGAGGTCCTGGCCAGTCGGAACAGCACTTCCCAGCAAACCCAGATGGGGGCTGAGCTGCACGCGGAGGCCCTGCAGGAGGAGAATGAGAGGCTGCGGGGACGCGTCGGCGAGCTGGAGCAGAGCATCGCTCGGCTTCAGAGGCAGGTCGCGGACCTGCAAGGCGATGAAGCCAAAGCGAAGGACACCCTGAAGAAGTACGAGGTGAGGCTCGCGGGGCTCCACTGGGCATCTGTGGGCCCTCCTTCCTGTGTGAGCGGTTTCAGGAGTGGGAAGGGATTTACTGTCATGATTTAGTAGGAAAGGTCAAAGCACTGGGGACTGTGTCCTCTCTGCAAACCATTCTGTTTGTGCCTCTGCAAGCAGTTTGAGTGGGAGCTGAGCTGCTAGCGAGGCCTGGCAACAGGGCTGATGAAGTCGGGGGGACGCGCATGTGTAGGTGCAGGAACCCCACTCACGCAGACAGCAGACACACTCAACCCTTCATCACTGAGCGGAGGCCTCCACAGACCCGAAAAGGCCATTTAACCCCACCGTCAGAGCCGGTCTCTCTCATGACTGTTCATTCTTTAACACAGTTGATGGTGTTTGAAGTCATAAACCAATTTAACAAACCAACTCTCTGGTTTGCCAGGTTTCTGGAGGTGGGAGGCTGTTCACAAGAGACAGGCTCCGGTGGCCTCTGACAGTAAAAGGGACAAAAGAAATGTAAAGGGAGACGTGTTCTAACAGAGGTTCCTCAAGGGTCATGCGTCAGAATCACCTGGAAGCCTTTTCCAAAACTCTGTGCCTGAGTCGATCAGTGCCTGCTTCAGGTAGAGGCTGGATATTAGTATTTTCAGAAAACTACCCCAGGTGATTTAGGTGTTCACATCTGTCTGAGTACAGAACCCCAGACAGGCACACACACCCAGGAACATGGCTGTCGTGTGCCACGTTGGGCCCGTGACACTGCTGGCCATGCCTGTGTCTGTCTCCTTCACTCCTCTCCTGCCACCGAGCCAGCTGCAGAGGTGCAGCACACATCTGAGTACACCTTGACTCCATGTTTCATTGTAGGGGGAAATTCGACAATTAGAGGAGGCCCTCATGCGTGCAAGGAAGGAAGAAAAAGAAGCCACGGCAGCCAGAAGGGCCCTGGAGAGTGAGCTGGAAGATGCTCAGGTAAACACTGAGGGCTGTCGTCTTTATCCCGCACACAGGAAGCCCGAGAAGCAAAATTGGGGGGACATTTGCAGACTGCCACTGGCCCTCGTCTTCCAGATAACTCCTGCATAATAACCACCCTGACCTCAGAGTATCCATCCAGACCAGTGGTTCTTAACTGGAGGACATTTGGCAATATCTGGAGACAGTTTTGGTTGTCACAGTAGGGGTGATGCTACTGGGCATCTAGTGCGTAAAGGCCAGGGATGCTGCTAAACATCCTACAAAGCACAGGACGGACCCCACAGCAATGGATTGTCTGGCCCCAAGTGTCAGTAGTACTGAGGTTGAAAATCCTGGTCTAGATGTTAAAGAGCTTGACAGCTTTCCAAAGATAAAATGTGAGTTGTGTAAGAAGGCCGGCCACATGGTTGGTGCCCAGGGCAGCGTCGCTTGGCTGTCTGCCGGAAGCCAAGTTTCTCTGTCCTCTGGGCAAACAGACTCCAGAGGGTGCAGACCTTGAAGATGGCTTTGAAAGGAGCAGGAGGAAGTCAGTTCCTTGAAGCTAGATAGCTATCTCTATTCAAAATCAGTAGGTTCTTAGAAAATTAGATTTTCCCACTTGAAGGTTAGAAAGCTGGGTTGAAGTACATTCTAAAAAAACAGTCTCCACTGAAGTTCTCAGTTGAGTTTGCACAGTGACTTCCACGTGATCCAGGTGTCTCCTTCCTCCTACCTGCCCTCGGGGTTTTAAAGAACCAGCACCAAGCAACACTTGGGTGAATTTCTAAAAAGGTGAAAGCCAGGGTTTCTGAGCAGTTGTCTAAGAAGAGTTTGTTAAAAGTTTTCCATTAGGAGGTGGAGGTCAGGCAGAGGAGGGGCTCACGAGCAGTCCTAAGAGCTGATCGCAGGCCGTACTCAGATTTGTAAAGGTCCAATGGCAGCTTTCCTTTCCGCATACAGCTTTATTCCTTCACGGTAGAGGAGAGGAGCCTGTACCCTCAGGCCCCCCATAAATCAGGAGTCCTCAGCCCCAATCAGTGGTCTCCATCTTCTTTCTGGCTTTGGACACAAAGACCTTGTTTTTGAATATAGTAAAGCCCTGGATTTTCCTGAGTTTGGTGTCTGAGTGTCCTAACTTTGGATTTTCTCCTCTCTCTCCCCCCCTCCTCTCTCTCCCTCCTCCTCCCCCTCCTTCCTTCTTCCCATCCATCCATCCATCATCCATCCATCCATCCATCCATCCATCCATCCATCCATCCATCCATCCATCCATCTTTGTTACAAACTCTTGTTCAGTTGATTTTGTGTAGATGGCAATTTCACCATGCTGCTGTTTAAGGCTTGTGATGGCTACAACCCAGCCACCAAAATGTGGGGTTTAAGTCTATGAGCCAGTTGGGGACAGAAAAAGAGGAGAAAAGTTTGTCTTCTACAGGGGCAGAAATCTGCACCTCGAGTCATGTCCATATGGAGCATTGGGGGCACCTGTTACAGGCTCTCAGTCTGCACTATCCTTTGGTCAAACCAGAAGTTTCACATGTAAGGGGGTAGGTCACCGGCTGTGAATTCAGGCTCGTAGTTAACTTTGGGGAGAGAACAGATGTGGCTTCAAGGCCTAAAGATCTTAATGTAGACCCCACCCACCCCCACCTCCGGGGCTCTGTCCTTGCCTTGGAAAGCATCCCTCACCTGTTAATTTTGTTCGGGCCTGTTTTCTCAGGTGTGGAGATGGCGAGGCTGCTTCATGCACTGTGTGGCCATCCTAGCACAGTCTAGCAGGCATTTATAAAGGGCCCAGCCACCTCACCATCGTTAATCCGAATTATCTCATCTCAAAAGTAGTGCTTTAAAAAGTGCACCGTCATCCTAAAATACTCCATTTTCTCTAAAATCTGGAAGCAGACAGCCCCTTTAGTTCTATACCTCTCTGCATAACTCTCTTCCCAAAGCTAGCCACCGAAAGGGCTTACCCCTGAGAGGGGGAGGAAAGAATAACTGTGTGTGTGTTTTGGTTTTTTTTCCACACAAGCATTTTATATTTCAAAATCTTTGTGCCTTTAGTGATCTGTTGCATTTTCGTGCATTTCTTTACAGTGGCTGAGGACCATGTGAACTTAGGTCTGATTTATTATGACTTGGTCAGAGAGTGGCAGCAGGTCCTAAAGATGCCGTTTGGTTTGCTGGGTCCCTATCCCTTGGTGTAGGATTGTGCTGCCAGGCAGATGGACTTGAGCTTCATTCAAGACAGAGGCAGCTCTGATTCCCTTGAGAAACGGCTTTTCTGGAGAAGCCACAGTTTTTTCCTTCAGGGAGGGATGAGGGTTTGTATTCTGTGTACCGTCACCTCCCCGTTGACTTCTGTGTATTGAGGCAACAGAATTAAAAGGCCCCAGTGCTCCCTCTGTTGCTGTCTGCGGTTAGTGTGTGACAGGGCTCTGAGGAGACCAGCTTTCTCCCAGCCTCCTCTCCTTCAGCCCTTAGGCTCACCTGCCCCTTGCTTATTATTAATGTGGATGAATTGGGGCCTTAGTCATGTAGTAAAAGGCTCTGCATCCACTCATGGATAATGGTCCCCAGGCTCAAGGGCACTCATTGTTAATACATCCACTGACTTGGTGTTTTGGGTTTTCCAAGTTGATAAATTTTCCTCAAGTTTAGATCCCAATATTAGTGAAGGAGCTCATAATTCTGGTCTTGGAAATGTAGTCACTGTGGCCACAGAGTATTTCCCTCCTAACTCCTAAATTCACAGTTGCCAGCTTGGCTTCTTTTCACGTGAACTAGGGACATGTTTTCTCAGCAGTGATGTTTCGGAACCTAATTCTTGAATAACCAAAGAGGAAGAGCATGTGCTAAATAACATCTTGAAACTTCATGTTAAAATTACCTGGGTGCCCGGCCAGGCGTGGCTCAGCAGTTGAGCGTCGACCTAGGATCTGGGCAATCGGGGTTCGATTCCCGGTCAGGGCACATGCCCGGGTTGTGGGCTGCAGCCGATCAATGACTCTCTCATCATTGATGTTTCTCTCTCCTTCTCTCCCTCTCCTTTCCTCTCTCTGAAATCAATAAAGATATATTAAAAAAAAGAAAAAAGAATTACCTGGGTAACTTTCAAGTGCAAATTTATGGGCCCCACTCTAAGAAAAATGGTGGATTCCATCAGGACGGGCCAGAATCTACATTGTAAGGAAGGAGCACTCCACCCTTGCTTGGTGATTCAGATAGAAGAAGTCTTTAAAACACTTTTGGGGATAGATACTAATTTTCACCAAGTTTTTATTGTATGCCTAATAGTGAATCTGGGCTCTGAGACATACCCAGATAGAAAATTGATTCCTTGCCTTTATAGATCTTACTACCCTGAAAGAGAGCAAGCATATATATGTGTGTGTGTGTGTGTGTATAATATATATATATATATATATATACACACACACCCACATATATATATTTTAAATATATCTTTATTGATTTCAGAGAGAGGAGGAGAAAGGGAGGGAGAGAGAGAAACATCAATGATGAAAGAGTCATCATTCATCAGCTGCCTCCTGCATGCCCCGGACTGGGGATCAAGCCCGCAACCCAGGCATGTGCCCTGACCAGGAATTGAACCGCGATCTCCTGGATCCTAAGTCGATGCTCAACTGCTGAGCCAAGCCCAGCCGGGCAAGAAATATTTAAAAATAATTTATCCAAAACTATTCTTCTAGGAAAACGTGTGCATGTTGAGGGGGTGGAGTGGGGTATTGGCTGGGCACCAGCCCCAGGGTGGGTGAGTCTTGGTCTCCAGTGACACGGAGAGCAGGGCTAGTTGGAGAGCCCTGCCTGAGCCCAGGGAAAGCTGAAATGCACACACCACATGGAAGTTGAACGGAGCTGGGCTGGCTTGTCTGCTGACGTAGAGCCCCTGGGGTTGGAATCCAGGAGGAAGAAAAAGAGAGCCTGGGGGGACCTAGAGGGACAGGGGCTGAGTTGGATCCTGAAGGCTCTATGGAAAGCCACTGATTACCTTCTGTATTTGTACTGTTGTTTTTCAAGAATTTACATCTTGAGATACATGTTTCTGAGAGGTTTCTCCTACACAATGAAACCATGCATTGCTTACCTTACCCTGCATGCCCCCCTTAGCCTTCAGCACCACTAAATCAGCCACAGACAGATCCCAGCCTTGATCCTGTCTCCGCTGTGTGCCCAGCTGGGCTGTGGTGGGAAGCACTCCTGCTAATTGTCCCACGCTGAACTCCTGATTGCCTTTCTTTAGCACTTTTATTTTTTTAACTTTAGCACTTTTGTTGACTTTGGTTCCCCACAGCAATTAACTTCAGCAGCCGGCTGGGTTGGCTGGTTTTTAGCATGCAGCCAGAGGGGCAGGGAAGGCCTCCACAGGTGGCTGTTTGGCCGCAGGTCAGGTGGTTGGCCAGCAGAGCTGTTCACATGCCCTGCAAACCAGGAGAGCCTGAAGTGATTTGGGAGTGTGTTCAAGATGCCTGTTACTGCATGTGACAGCAGCTTGTAAACTGTTAAGCACTGTAAACATATAAATCAGTGTCCCTATCCAGCCTCTGCAGGGACACAGGCTGAGTAGGTCCTAAGCAGCACCTGTACTAACCCACATTCAGCCCTCAGCACCTCATAACGTTTTTCCTGATGATCCAGCCCATGTTTGATGATCCTGCTGCCCCATTCTTAGTTGTGCCTCTTCTTGATACGCTCACACCAGTGGCCTCAGCACTCAGCCATTTACAGGAGCCACTGTAACCTTCCTAAGATTAGGATTTTGTTTTAGAATGTCATGTGGTTTTTTTTTACATCAAGGGCTTCAGTCTGTGTGAGGTTGTGAGATGAGAGATCCAGGGAAACCCAGGAAAATATTGCCCTTTATAGTAACTACTGATATTTGGTACAGATTCACTAAAATAACCACTCATGCATTTTTTCGGACTGACGTCTCTTCCATCTAACACCTTCTACTTATCAAGTTCATGGGCCTGTGGATTGCCAAGTTCTTTTTCTTCTGTGTATGAGTCCAACTCATGGATTCTGTTGATTACAACTCCCTGTACCCAAGTGGACTCCTGGCCTGTGGACAGTGTTCTCTGTCCTCACAGATTCATCATTAGCTGTTTTAATGGTAATGATCATCTGAGCAGCAGAGCGAATTCAAGAATATTAGGTGCAGTGCCATATATCACAGGATGTGAATTGCCACGTAGGTTTAGGTTGGTGTCATGCATAACCTTACCTCACTTTTCATGCACGAGCAATCAGGTTTCTGGACACTACCCTGAATCTCCACCCCCAGCAGCCTCGGCCGCTTTGCACCCTGCGTCTGCCTCTGTGTTTTTGGCTAAGTCAGCTTGGCCCCTGAGTTTCAGAAGCAGCAGTGTCCTTGTGTCTCTGGGATGACTTGACTGATCATTTTCCTTCTTCTCAGCAATGTAACCATGGCTTTGTGGTGTGGTTGTGAAACTCCCTCTGCTGCCTGTTGTGTGGCTGACCTGGTAGGTAGATGACAACACTGTCCTTTCCCTGCCATCTGCAGAGAAATCTGAGTCGGGCCACCCAGGAGCAGAAGCAGTTGTCTGAGAAGCTAAAAGATGAGACGGAGCAGAAGGAGCAGTTAAGGAGACTGAAGAACGATATGGAAAATGAGCGATGGCACCTTGACAAGACCATTGAGAAACTGCAGAAGGAGGTGAGGGAGCAGGAAGAGCTGAGGGGGGGGCAGGGAGCGCGGGTAGGAGAGGGCATGGGGCGCACACCTGGGTTGGGACCCCTCCCCTCTGGCGGCCTGATGGAAGCTAAGGAAACCTGCAGTTATGTGTAAGCACAGATGTTTCAGGGATCTGCAGATCCCCTGAAACAGCTCTTTGGACTTGTTGAGAGTCCCAGATACAGAGAAGCTGGTCTAGAATATGCCAGTCCCTTCTGGATTCTGGGCCTAGCTGCTTCCCAGTTAGAGGGGACTAAACTGGGACAGCCCATGACGAGGCGCTTTGCAGAGTCTTTAGGGGAGTCTGTCGATGAGAGAGGAGGAGATGTGATCTGTGTTTAGATGGGCCCTGAACCTAGCTTCATACAGGGTGGGCTCGCTGTGTCACTCCTTCCAGATGGCTGACATTGTCGAGGTGTCCCGCACGTCAACGCTGGAGCTCCAGAACCAGCTGGACGACTACAAGGAGAAAAATCGCAGGGAGCTTGCAGAAATGCAAAGGCAGCTGAAGGAGAAAACCCTAGAGGCAGAAAAGTCCCGTCTGACTGCCACAAAAATGCAGGAGGAGGTAAGGCCTGGTCAGAGCAGCTCCTGGCTCCACCCTTACTCAGAGCGTCCTTCAGACTGTGCTCCTCTCCTGGGAAGGCTTGAGGTGGATTCTTAAGACAACATCTGTGCTTGATTTCTCACTCTTAACCCTCTGGGGGGTTACATGGGCCAAATGGTTTTCTAAGACACAATGGACCCAGGGCCTCTAAGGTGAAATTGATAAAACTGTAACTTGATTGTTTTCTTGATTAATCCAAGGTTTTCTGTCTCAAAAGACTAGCTGCCATTTATGGAGCACCAAAGGTGTGCCCAGTTGTGTCCAAATAATTTATATGTATTAATGTTTTAATTTAGTTCTAGAACAGGGATTATAGTAACCATGTCCCGTCCCCCCGCCCCCACCATTCTTAGAACATATAAACTTTTATTGGAGTGGGAGTGGTAGACAGGAGTTTCAGAACAACAATAATAGAGACAAAAAGAAATCTTCAGGAATTTATGAGTATTGAAATTATTAAAACATATTTTTGGTTTTATATTGAAGAATAATGGAGCAAAGTAACCCAAATGTTAGCTCCCTTCAGTCTTGACTTCTAAAGAACTGAGAAACATAAAGGGAATGGTTTTGATTATTTTAATGGAAAGCTGAAGGCTCTAAAATGCAAATACAGCTAATGCTGATTTCTAGACATGCTTCTCGCCAGCTGCATGACCTTGAGCACGTTACCCCAGTTTTCTGAGCATCTATTTTTTGCTCCCTCTTTAAAAATATGCAGAATAATAATGATTTAATAATTAAATGAGATCAAGTGAGGGACCGAATAGCAGAGGGTCTGTGTATCCTGGATATTAATGTTGTTATTTTTTTATTCTAAGTCTTATTCTTTTTCATAAGCAGTGCCAAAAGCACTAAGATTCCACAGGAAAACAAGTTTTTCTTTTAAAAACAAACTTTTAATATCTTTGAAGATCAAAGAGAAGTCACCCAGAGTCAGTGTTGAAAGTGTGTGGGACACACTTCTAGAACACTGCTGAACGGGTCCTGAACGCAGATCCCTTCTGGCGCAGGGTAAAAGGACACAGGAATCCAAGTAAAAACTGAAATTAGCTCATTGACATCATAGTTCTCTCTGGCATTAAAAGAACCATTTTCATTTCTACAGCAGGTGGGGGGGAGATTCAGATATTTGCCAGGATCCCAACAAACACCTGGTATGCAGTGTTGATCTTAGAAATTCATAGTGCCAGAGTGACCCCTGCAAACAGCTTCTGTTGCCTTTTCTATGACAGTTATTCTGCTGCAGTCTTTTTTTTTTTTTATAATATATCTTTATTGATTTCAGAGAGAGGAAAGGCGAGGGAGAGAGAGAGAGAAACATCAATGGTGAGAGAGCCATTGATCGATCGAGCCCACAACCCGGGCATGTGCCCTGACTGGGAATCGAACCCTGATCACCTGGATCCTAGGTCGATGCTCAACCACTGAGCCATGCCTGGTTGGGCTCTGCTGCAGTCTTTAGATTGGAAGGAATCTTAGTGCTTTCCAAGTAAGGTAAGGAAACTGAGGTCCAGAGAGGTTAGTTAAGGCCAGGTGGAGACCAATGATGTCTATAGAAGAGTATTGATTCGAAAAAGGGATTCCTTGCCATGAAAACAAAGATGGCCCTTCTTAGATTTTCTCAGTGGCAAAGCCCTATTTCCATTTGAATGGCAGAAACAGACACCTTATCATTCTAAAAGGAAATTACAGATACCTCCCTGGGTCAGGCTGCAGAAGTCATGGAGTCGTTTATGACAAAAGTGAATTAACAATGCTCTGGCCAGTGTGGCTCAGTTGATTGGGTATCGTGCTGTTCACCGAAAGGTTGCCGGTTCAATTCTTGGTCAGGGCACATTCTTAACTTGATCCCTGACAGGCCGATCAGTGTTTCTCTCTCTCCTTCTCTCTTCCTCTCTCTCTAAAAATAAAAAAAAAAATCTTAGCGAATTAACAAGTCAAGATCACTCTGGATCCTTAAAAAACTCAAGCTCAACTCTTCACCTCTCCCTACCCCATCCTAAGTTAAAAATGAAAGCCAAAGGGCCCCTTCCCAGGGACTGTTATACTCACCTTCTTTGCTTTGAGGGAGATACACATTTTATCTAATTTTGCCTTCAGTGTGGAGCTAGGAAAGTTCCAATGCAGATAATCTTCAGAGAATTAAGACTTAGAAGGTGTTGTTGTTCAGCTTAATCTTCTAAATCTCACTTAGCAAAGGGCAGTTTTGACTCTGTGAAGGCAGCACAAGTAGATTTAAAAGTTACTTGCTTACTTGTGATTACAGACACTATACAGTTATGCTCTTGTGCATATACTTATCCGGTGCTCTTAGTGTGCCAGAGCCCTGGAGAGGTGTTCCAGGGACATCCTGGCGTCGGATGTAGGAACGTGCTGGGCAGTGGGATGAAGGGCCATGCTGGGCATGGGAAGGCACCAACAGGGAAATGCAGGCTGTGCATTTCTCACTCTCAAACCTGTGTTCTTTTGTGTGATATTATTTTATTTGATTCTCATAACAGCTCTATAAGGTTGGTTTTAAAATTATCCCAATATTGAAATCAGGAAACGGAGTCATGGAGACATTATATTTTTAAGATTATCTTTGGAGAGATTTCGAATGTTCTGGGGTACAGTGCACCCTCTGGAGCCAAAGCCTAACCCTAACCCTAACCCTAACCTAACCCTCACCCTAACCCACATCCCTTTTCATGGGATGATGTTCCTTTGTCCCTGCACTCAGTTTCATTTCACAGTCATCTTTTCACTCAGTTTCCACCAAAACCAGACTAGGGTTTTTCTCAGGAGAGGTCTTTGTCAAGGCTGTACTATTTTCATAGAAATGTCAGGTGATCCCACAAGAGAGAAACACATTTCTGAAAGTTTTCCCACTGGTCTTTCTAAACTAGTCTGGCCTGTTGGGTCCCCCACTCCCCCAAGACCATCTTTGGGGCTTTCCCAACTTTTCTGTGAAAGTCGTCCCCAAGGGATGGTGTTCTTTCAAGGAGCTTGTTACTTACCCTCATATATTCCCTGAAGGAAATAACCCCCTGGTGTAGTCTCTTCTTGAGACTGTGCATTCAGCCATCTCCAAGAGGGTAGGAGAAGTTGAGAACAAAACAGCCAGCCTTGGGCTTCACCAAATCCATCCACACAGACGTTTCAGGAATACCTAGTGTGTGTGGAGGTGGCTTGGCCTTTCAGGGAAATTCCAGAGAAGTGGAAAACAAGGACCATCCCTTGTGAATCAAGCTCTTTTGTCTGTTGCAGCTTTCAAAGTTGTTAGTTCAGTGCCACCTTGTGGATGAAAAGAGCAGTCTCGGTTATGACCGCTGATAACATGATTTTCTTCTCTAGAGCAGTGGTTTTTTTCACCTAAGGGGCATGTTTATAATATTAGATTTTGTGCCTGCAGGTTGCTTTGGGGTCATTAATTAATTTTTATTTCCCCCTAACTTTACACCTCTTTTGGGATGATGTTGACCCAGGGTGGGCCATCAGTTATCCTCTGGGAAGCACTCATCCAGCTCATTGCCTTTCAGTGTTTTTGATCACGACTTAAGGTGAGAAATACCTCTTGCATTGCAACCCAGTAATATACACACCCCTACAAATATATGAATATGTAGTGCACAAGTTTCACAAAACATTATTTGCTTGTACTCTACTCTGAGTATTTTTTTCTGTTATATTTAATTTTAAAATGCTGGTCAACATCTACTGTATTGAATTTATAACCCAATGGGTTGCTACCTGTAGCTGGAAACCACCCCCTTCCCTTTTTTATAGAAGAGGAAACTGAGGCCCTGAGGGCGGTGGCACTTGCTCAGGTCCTCTGACCTCCAGAGTGGGGTCCACCCGATCCTCCTTGGGCTCTGCTTTCGCACTGTCTCTCCTGACATGCGCCAGCTAAGCACCGACCCCTTCTTATCCTAGATGCGCCTGATGGAGGAAGAGTTGCGGGACTACCAGAGAGCTCAGGATGAAGCACTCACAAAGAGGCAGCTTCTGGAGCAGACGCTGAAGGACCTGGAGTATGAGCTGGAGGCCAAGAGTCACCTCAAAGATGACCGCAGCAGAATTGTCAAGCAGATGGAGGTCTGTGGGCCACCTGGGCAGCACCAGGGACCTTGGAGAGCGGGAGTGGGACATGAGGGAAACAGCCTCTCTTTTCAACCTTAGCTTCTGGGGAGTCTTTGGTTTTTACGTTCTCAAATAGCCAGACATTAGGAAGGTCATTTCTTATTTGGGGAAGCATAGTTCACAGACTCATAGGACATCGGAACTGGAAGGAACGATGGAAGTAATTTAGTCTAGTGTCCTCATTGCCTTGAAGAGGAAGCAAAACAGAGTCCCAAAGAGGTCAGGTGTTTTTACACAAGGACATGTAGATGGTTCGTTTTCTGCGTGCTACTTTGGGCTGTGCTTTTAACTATGAAGGAGATGAGACTGCTGCCGATGTAGGGAGGGGCCGAGGTGTGCCTGGAGTCCAAACTGCGTAACTGCTAGGGACACCCAGCACTCCTTTGCCACGCACACCACATGCTCCATTCTTGTTCGCCAATTTTGGCCCATTTTCCCTTATGGATGATCCAGCTTTGCCCAAGCTAGCAGCAAACTGGTTCAGTTCACTTTGGGATACACAGTATAAACACAGTCCAAGACAGTATATCAGAAAGTACTCAGTGGAGTCACCAGCTGGGGGCGATCTGTTCACAAGATGAAAGCGCAGCACATTAGAAAAGTGAATTAAGTAATAGAATCTAAATATGAACAGCCCACCAAGAATGACAGAAAGAACCTTAATATCAGTCCACCTGAACTTATAGAAAAGAATCCTCACGAATAAAACTAACCCCAAACCAGAAAGATCC